TTGCATTATTGTGGTGGCCTGGAACTGAACCTGCAATATCTCCAAGTTATGCCTGTGTATTCTTGGTGGATTAACATTTTATCATTATAAAACGTCTCTCTTTATCTCTAGTATACTTTTGGTTTTACAGTTTATTTTGTCTGATATTAGTATAGGCACTCCAGCTTTCGTATGGTTACTGTTTGCTTATATCTTTTATTTTCAACTTATTTGCATATTTGAAAGTGTACGCCCTGTTGGCAACATATAGTTAGATCTTGTTTTTCTATCTAATCTATTTCTGCCTTTTGATTGTACCATTTAATCCATTCACACAATGTAATTATTGATATAGTTGAATTATACATATATGACACAGTTGAATTTACTTCTGCCACTTTACTTTTTGTTTTCTATTTCTTGTCCTTTTTACTCTTTTTTATTGCTCTATTTCTCCTTTCTGCTTCTTTTGTATTACATGAAATTTTTTTAGTGCAACATTTTAATTCCTTTCATTTTTTCATTATATATTTGGAGTTATTTTATTAGTGGTTGCACAAGGGCTTATCATATACACCTTATCAGAATATACAATAGATTTATACCAGCTTAATTTCAATGACATATAGAAATGTTTCTCCTGTAGAGCTCTACTCCCTCCCTCTTTTTGTGCTATTTGTTATATATATATGTTACATCTATGTTATAAACGCAACTAGACATTGTTATAGTCATTATTTTATTCAATTTAATGTTTAAAAAGCTGAAGAAAGGAAAGTATATATTTATAGTTTGTTATATTAATTTTTGCATTTGCCATTTCTTATTGTTTGTATGGTTTCAAGTTACCGTCTCCTGTTATTTCCTCCTTTAGTACAGTTTGGCTTCCACCCACCTCTGTGCTGACACTGACAAATGTTACACTGCTGTTTTACAATTATACAATTATAACACGTTGTGTTATACATTTGCTTTTTTAATCTGTGAAGGGAAGAAAGGAAGGTAAAAATGCATGTATACTTTTTAAATAATTACATAATTACCTTTACCAGTGCTCTCTGCCCACCCCCCCCCCCCCCCCCCATCTCTAGGGTCATTTACTTCCTGAAACCATCCGGAACCTGAAGAACTCCCTCCAGCGTTTGTTGTAAGGTCGGCCTGGAGCATCCTCAGATGTTATCTGGAAATTACTGTATGTTGCCTTCATTTTTGAAAGACGGTTTTGCTGGATAGGATTCTTGGTTGATTTTCTTCTTTTGAGCACCTTGAATGTCAGCCCACTGGCTCTGGTCTCCTATTGTTTCTGATGATAACTAAGCCCTGACTTTTATTGGGTTTCCTTGTATATAAATCATTCTACTCTTGCTGCTTTCTAAATTTTCTCTTTCTCTTTGTTTTTAAGTGTGTTTAGTATGTTTCTGGATGTGGCTGTCTTTGTGTTTTTTTCCTACTTGAAGTTAGTTGAGCTTCTTGAATGTATAAATTAATGCTTTCATCCAATTTGGGAAGTTTAGAGCCATTATTTCTTCTAATACATATATATGTTATATATTATATATATTTTATATAAATTTATATATATTGCTCCTTTCTCTTTCCTCTCCTTTGGCACTCCTGTGTATATTGGTGTGCTTAATGCAAACCACATTTCTGAGGTTCTGTTCATTGTTCTTCAATCCTTTTCCTCTCTCTTCTTTGGATTGAATAATTTCCATCAATCTTCAAGTTTACTGATTCTTCTGCTAGTTCAAATGCACTGGAGAGCCCCTATAGTAAATTTTTCATTTCAGTTAATACACTTTTCAACTACGGAATTTCCACTTTTTAAAAAATGTAATTTCTCTCTAATGATATTCTCTATTTGATGAGCACTGTGAACGTGGCTTCCTTGCTTTTAAAGGACAGTTCCCTTTAATCCTCAGACATATTTATAATGGTTGAAGTCTTTATTTAATCTAACATTTGTGCCCTCTCGCAAATAGTTTTTGTTGCCTGCTTCTTTCCCCTGTGTAAGGGTCACACTCACACTTTTCTACTTCTTTGCGTGTTTCATATATATATATATATAAATAATTTTTTTTCCAGGTGAAAACTGGACATTTTAAGGACAATCTTGTGGCAACTCTGGATCTGGGTTCCTCTGTCTGTGAGGCTTGTTTGGGGTGGTTTGCTGGTCTGTCTGTTTGGTAACTTGGTGGCCTGTTCCCGTGACGTCTGCCCCTCTGCACTGTGGTTCTCTGATGCTCATCAGCAGGTGTAGTCTTGAGAATGCAGTCACCTTTGGATGAAGTTGCTTTAGGAGGGCTCTCTCCCCTTGATCTCTCTCTTAGGGTGTCTTTTCTGTCTGGCATCACACCTGTTAGGATCCACCAATTGCCTCAGAAGGGCTCTTCTTAGCTCTTGCCTTCACTGGTTCTGTCTGACAAACTGGCTGGCTAACAGTTTAGTTTGTTGCTCTCTCATAGAGCTACCAGCCTCCTCTTAGTCATTTACACCAGTTTCCTTTTTTTTTTTTTTTGTTTGAGAACAAACTTCGGCTTGAATTTCCCCACATTTTGTTTCAAATAAAGCCATTTCCTTTGGGGAGAGCTTTGGGGCTCACTGTTCTGTCCCCCTGGTCAAACTTTCTGAACCACTGCTCCAGGGGCTGGGGACGGGGGTAGGTAGCTCCTGGTCTTCTGGGCCTGCGTCTCTTACTGTCAGATCTCTATTTCTTGAGCAAGCTGGGCTGAAGGCAATTGGGTTCCCAGTACTTTTGGCCGGCCCTGCCTGAGGAGGAGCTTCTGCCCTGTGGGCGGGTGCTGGGTTGAGGAAGAGAGCCCTGCCTCTTGACCACATTCACTGCGAATTTAGCCTCTGCAACTCACTGGAGGGGATAAGAAACGCTGTCAGCCTGCATGAGGTGCTTTATCCTTTGACCGGGAGCTGAGGAGGGAGAAAACCTTATTTTCTTGGCCACGGCTGTCCCCTGTGGAATCTGTATCAGGCTGAGCTGAAGGTGATGGCAGATGCCACGGCTCAGGGCCACAGGCTACAGACATTTAATGATTTTCTTGAGTAAAGATTTCTTCATTTGCTGTATGATCTCAGGACAATTTTCAGAGACTTTAAATGAGTATTTTTAAAATACTTTTCATCATTTATGGTTGTTTTACTGGGAAAAAGGTCTGCTGAGTTCCTTGTCCTGCCATTAAGTGTAATCTACTCTGTTGACTTTTCAACTATAATCTTTGGATTATTTCTTAGTGGCTGTTCTAGGGAGGGATTACAATATACATCTTATCAGTCATCTTTAGATTTGTATTAATCTGGTAAAATAAACTTTACTAGAACATAGCTGTATTTTTGCCATACATTATAAATTCAACAGTATAGTGTTACAATTATTGCTTTATGTAATGTCTTTTAATAGAAGGAAAAATATATTTATATAATCTCTTATATGAAAATTTGCCCACATTTACTATTTCCAGTATCCTTCCAGTGAATTTATATTAACTGGCTGGTATCATTTCCTTTCAGCCTTTAAGACTTTAACATTTCTTTTATGATAGGTTGGCTAGCAATGAATTTTGTTTTCATTTTCTAAAATGCCTTTATTTTGCAAGATAGTTTTGCTGGATGTAGAGTTCTTGATTGACAGTTCCTTTTCTTCCAGTCCCTCAACTATGTCACTCCCTACCTTCTGGCCTCCATTGTTTCTGCTAAGTCAGCCGTTAATTATACTGTTCCTCTATATGAGATAAAAATCATATTTTCTTGCTGCTTTCAAGATTTGCTCAACAGTTTGACTATAAAGTGTCTAAGTGTGGTTCTCTTTGTGTTTATCCTGGGTTTTATTGAAGATCTTGGATCTGTGGGTTAATCTTTTTCATCAAATTTAAGAAGTTTTCAGCTATTATTTTTATAAATATTTCTTAGGCCCTCTCCTCTCCTGAATCCCATTACACATGTTGGTATGCTTGATGTTGTCCCACCAATTTCAGTAGGAAGCTTGCCTACAATGAAATGGGGCCCTCTCTTTTAGAAGCATTTACATTTTTTCTGATTTCATTTAATTTTTAAAATTTAGTTCACTGGCTATTAGTTAAAAACGTGGTATTATATTTTCTTTCTTTTAGAAATAATAAGGAGAATAGTATTTAGATTTTTGTGCTGCATACATAGAATGTAAGAGATGATAAAAGTGAAATAGAGGGGCTGGCCCCGTGGCCGAGTGGTTAAGTTCACACGCTCCGCTGCAGGTGGCCCAGTGTTTCGTTGGTTCGAATCCTGGGCGCGGACATGGCGCTGCTCATCAAACCACGCTGAGGCAGCATCCCACATGCCACAACTAGGTGGACCCACAACGAAGAATATACAACTATGTAATGGCAGGGGGCTTTGGGGAGAAAAAGGAAAAAAAAAAAAAAAAAAGGCAATTCAAAAAAAAAAAAAGTGAAATAGAGTAATAAATAACCTGATCTACGATGAAAGAACTGTTCTCAGCTGTAAAATAAGAATTTCTTCATATACAGTAATTAAAAGGGAAAATGAGAGAATGAGAGTAGAACAGCAGTTTTCCTCTTGAGGAACAATGTTTAGAAAAATGTAATCTTTTTTTTTTTTTTTTTTGGTGTGGAAGACTAGCCCTGAGCCAATATCTCTTGCCAATCTGCCTCTTTTTGCTTGAGGAAGACTGTCGCTGAGCTAACATCTGTGCCCATCTTCCTCTAGTTTGCATGTGGGATGCCTGCCACAGGATGGCTTGACAAGCAGTGTGTAGGTCCACACCCAGGATCTGAACCTGTGAACCCCGGGCTGCTGAAGCAGAGCACGCAAACTTAAGCACTATGCTACCCAGCCAGCCCCTTAAAGGTAATCTTTAATGAAAAAGTCACATGCATTATAAAAGGGGGTCATTATGAGTGATGTGGAGATGGCTACATATGCTTTCTTAGGAATGCCACATCTCTGATACACATCTTAAATATTTTTTGGCAATACTTATGAGCATTTTAAAAGAATGGAGCTACATCAACTAAAGGACAACCAATAAATATAATTAGTTCTTCATCAAGACAATAAGGTAACAATGATTAAAAATACTTCCCCTCATATAGTCAGAATACGAATCTTAATTTTCATTTACATAGTTGTAGGCAAATGTGTAATCACCAAACAATGTATAGCACAGAAACAAGAAAAAGTGTATTAAGTTTAGTAATTTTGATAGGTTTTTCTAATACACATAATTACGAACAATTTATTATAAAAACCTACATACACAATTAATAAATACTTGATCACAAGTCTTTTAAAATATAATCAGAATGAAATGTGTAGAAAAAGACATTTCAAAGTCACAGCAGTTACTACCGTTACAATATTTAATCATTTTTACAATAAGTCTGCTGGTCCATTTCAATCAAACTTCTTCTCAGAGCCATTACATTTCTTGTTGAATTTCCTTTAGAGCAATAGCAAGTTGATTAATTTTTTCTTCCATTGCTTTTTTGTTCTTGCATGTTTCTTCCAGAAGTCCACGCATTTCCTCTTCAACTTGATGAACCTAAATCAACATATAAATTTTAATTTTAATTTCTTTAAAAAAATGTATTTTAAAAATATAGTCAGAAAGAAAAAATCAAAAATTTATTTTTATGCATTTTGTAATGAGTGATATTCATTTAAAGCAGAGAGGTTAGTGAAATAGAACTCGTTTAAATACCAATCAGAAAACTATGTTTATGCTGTACACAAAGTACGTACACGTGTGAGATCTATTTTCCACAGGTCCTTGTGAGGAATGCCTCTACCTTATCTTAACCGTTTTGGAGCTCAGGAACCTCGGTCGCGGTTGTGCAGCTTCTCAGGGGCACACCGGACAAACGCAGTCTTCTGCCTCCATCCTGCCCCGTCTGTCCTATGCGGCTTACCAATGCCGAGCCGTGGGTTCAACTCGAACAGCAGTCTTCTGCCTCCATCCTGCCCCGTCTGCCCTCTGCCGCTTCCCAATGCCGAGCCGTGGGTTCAACTCGAACAGCAGTCTTCTGCCTCCATCCTGCCCCGTCTGCCCTCTGCCGCTTCCCAATGCCGAGCCGTGGGTTCAACTCGAACAGCAGTCTTCTGCCTCCATCCTGCCCCGTCTGCCCTCTGCCGCTTCCCAATGCCGAGCCGTGGGTTCAACTCGAACAGCAGTCTTCTGCCTCCATCCTGCCCCGTCTGCCCTCTGCCGCTTCCCAATGCCGAGCCGTGGGTTCAACTCGAACAGCAGTCTTCTGCCTCCATCCTGCCCCGTCTGCCCTCTGCCGCTTACCAATGCCGAGCCGTGGGTTCAACTCGAACAGCAGTCTTCTGCCTCCATCCTGCCCCGTCTGCCCTCTGCCGCTTCCCAATGCCGAGCCGTGGGTTCAACTCGAACAGCAGTCTTCTGCCTCCATCCTGCCCCGTCTGCCCTCTGCCGCTTCCCAATGCCGAGCCGTGGGTTCAACTCGAACAGCAGTCTTCTGCCTCCATCCTGCCCCGTCTGCCCTCTGCCGCTTCCCAATGCCGAGCCGTGGCTTCAACTCGAACAGCAGTCTTCTGCCTCCATCCTGCCCCGTCTGCCCTCTGCCGCTTCCCAATGCCGAGCCGTGGCTTCAACTCGAACAGCAGCTCCTCAGACTCTCAAAACTGAAACAACCTCCCTTCCCAAAGACACTTGCTAATCTAGTCCCTACTGCATATCTAAAATTGCTGGTGGTGGGTAAAAATTGCCATCTTTCTGAGAGCACATTTATTCCTAACCGAGGTTCTCCTGGGATTCTGTCTTCGACACGATTCATTTCTGCTCAGAATTCTCCCTCCTGTGATCCAGCCCTCCCGACAGCACTATCAACATGGCCAACCCTCTGTGTTTACTTCCCTCTTCCTGATCTCTAACAGAATTTCCTATCTTTTTCCCCTAGGAAACTAATATTGCTCCCAATTTAAATTATCATCTCTATGTGACGTCTCGCAATTTTTCGTGATTATCACATTTAAGCTCTGGTGCCATTTCTCTTAACAGATACATCCCTTTGAGAGTACATCATGTTGGCAGAGGTCCAAAATCAAACTCAGTATCTTCCTGTCAGCTAAGGGCCTAATTTTACACTTTATTTATTTAGCGTTATTACCTGATGTACCCTTGTTAAACACTCGGTAGATTTCAAATAGAACATCTGTTGACTTGAAATGAAATAACTAATTTTTGAACAAGTTATACTTCCTTATTCATTGTGATTATTTCCGAAGACCTTACTCCCTCTTTCTCTCCATACAGACTCCTGAAGGCAATGTCACTTCATCACACAACCTTAATTATAATTACAGGGAGTATTTCTTTCCCTCGCTGTTGCTGAACTCTTTTCCAGTTGCTGATTTCCAATTCTTCAGTCTTACTGCCACTTCAATATCAGGGAAAAATGGAAGTTCACAACTGTCCCTTCAGTCTGGTGGATCTCAACAGAGGGGTCATATTGGAATTACCTGCTGAGTTTTAAAAATACCGGGGTCTGGCCTCAGACTTAGCGAATGAAAGTCTCTGAAGGGGAAGCTCAAGCACGTGTATTATTAAAAACCACCACAGGTGATTCTGACATTTGCCCCTGATTTAGCATCACCTTAAACTCATTTCATTGTCAATGATATTAAGATGATAAACTTGATAGTGTTGAACCCTAATTAATAACACAATACTCCTTAGGAACTTTCTCCAAGGAGTGATGGATTGTATTCAGTGCATTCACATGCTCATCCTGCCCATGTGTAACCAAAGGGCTTCGGCCTGAGGTTGGTTAGGGATCTGGCAATTTTTGTCAGAGATCACGGAGCAGGTGCACATCAGGATCAAACCTACACTTTTCGTTTCATTAGAACTATTATTCTACAACTAACGTAAGTATTACCAACATTTTGGCCTGGCTTCAAGATAGTTTTGGCAACATTCTTCATATCTCTGTAGTCATTAAATCACGCTTCCTCTTCTCTTTATAATTCTCAAAGATCCAATTTATTTAGCTGTAACAATTTAATACTGATTATCAAGGTGAATTTTACATACGGTACCTTCGAATTTGCACAATCAATATATTTCTGCTTTTCATTCGCCAGTTGTAATATTTCAGCTTGATGAGCTTCAACAATGGCTTGAATTTGCTTTTTAAAGGCATCATCCATACTATGAAGCTTTTCCATCGTATCCCTTAAAAAGAAAACAAAGACCAGAGATTTATCTGTGTGTATAACAATTAGGATGTTTTTCTTCTCAGACAGCAGCTCTTCTATTCACATTTTAATGGAAACATAGTTCCAGCCATGAGCAAAGGGCCGCCCTGGTAATAAAGACAGAGCAGTCCATCATCCAGCGGAACGTGTGAGTGACAGAACAGGGTGGGGCAACATGAGTGCGAGTTTGTTACGCTTTCACCCTCTGAAAGCTACAGGTCTCTGGCTCTCATTTATTTTGAGTCTAAGGATGTGCTCTGCAAGCACCTTCACGGATGACTACTGTCAATCTGTCTTCCTCCATGAACCTACAGTGTGACACTAATTCAAGAAGTGTACGCTACAGGCAGGTTTAAGTTTATCAACGTGTATGCCTGACTTGCTTATGCTAATAAACACATTAAACAGTATTCATAAAATTTTAGTGCTAAAAGGGCCTTAGAGGCAAAACACAGAAACCTTTATTTTTTTTTTTGAAGATTGGCACCTGAGCTAAAATCTGTTGCTCATCGTTTTTTTCCTCCTTCTTCTTCTCCCGAAAGCCCCCCATTGCAGAGTTGTATATTCTAGTTGTAGGTCCTTCTGGCTGTGCTATGTGGGCACCCCCTCATCGTGGCCTGTTGAGTGGGGCCATGTCCACAACCAGGATCTGAACCAGTGAAACCCTGGGCCATGGAAGTGGAGTGTGCAAACTTAACCACTTGGTCATGGGGCCGGCCCCGCCTTTATATTTAATATAAATAATTTAATTTAAAAAGTTAAGTCCATAATGAACATATTTTCTGGTTTTGGCATAGCCCATAGCAATAGTGGATTGAACTTTAGGACCACAAATCAAAAGCCTTTCTTTTCTTCTCAATTGCAAGACTTAGTGGTCATGTGACTAAGGGCTAGTCACAAATTCTACATTAACGGTTTTCAACTATAAAACAGAATAATCCTGCTTGTTTTGCCAACCTCACAGAATTACTGCTGGGTTTAAAATAAGATATAAGAAAAAAATCACTTTATACGTTATAGAAAGCTATACAAATAAAATCTGTTTTTATTAACAATAATTTGCTTATTTTATTACAGTTCCATTACATTAAAAATCATATATAGCATTTTTGGTCATAAAGGCATTAATGCATAAAATCAAGTCTTTATTATTTTGCTATTAATGAAGTGATAAACAATATAAGAGATTCTAAAAACTGCCAGGCTTTATGATTTTTATTAAGTTTAGGAACTGCTATATGTAGGAAATGATTGTTTTTTAGGATCTAAAGGACTCCTAATTGCAAAGTTGTGACTGGCAGGAGAGAAAACCTCAAGTTTCCAGCCAAGGTCCCTGTATCAGCGCTGGGTTGAAAGCAAAGCAGAACAGCATCCATTAGCAGACAAACAACTAACTGTACCATTAACCAACACCTTCTGTGGAGTATAATAACTTGGTCTCCATCTACATTGAGTTAAAATAAAAGAAAGCAAACTCCAGGCTCTGTTAGATTTGATACAATGGAACCTACCTCTATATGAGGTTTTTGGGCCATCTATATGCCATGGCATCTCTCCCACTCTATATCTCGACACAAGAACTGATCATTAAACCATGCCACCTATTTTTCAAAGCAGTCAACTTTATAAATCACTTTAACAAGTCTAGTCACATAGTTTGCAAGGTAAAACCTTCATTTCCTCTAGGAAGTTCTAGAAAATCCACACAGCATAGCATCCAGGTAGATGTCCTTTTCCCCTCCTTGAACTCAGCTCTCACCCTCAGCCTGTGCAGGCAGCTGCTACCTGGACCTGCTCCAGGTTCTCCAGGAGTCAACCGCCCCTCAAACTCCGCACACAACAGCCAGAAACATCACTAGCTGCTTTCGTTCAGTGTGAACACAATAACCACAGTAATAAGAACAAAGTATTCACACGTTACTGTGAGTCAGGCACTGCTGAAGTACTGAACAACTCAGAGAAGCCACATAAGTACATAAACAACACATACACAACATTTAATCCTCACAACAAACATTTACGGCAAAAACTATCATCATCTTCATTTTACAGATGGAATAGAAATAAAGGACTTGGCAAACAACCACGTCTACCATGGTCTTAGCCCTTCTTTCGTGCTCCATCTCTCACCCATCCCAACTCAGTGTTTGTCTCAAGACATCCCATACACTTTCAAACTTAACGCTTACTTTTGTAGTTCAAGACTTTTGTCTCTTTCCGTTCTAAGTTTCTTTTCTTTGTTTTCGAATTTTTCTTTCACTTCTTTTACTTGCATTTCAAGATGACTTAGAAGTTCTCCTTTATCGTGCCACTTCTGATTAAGAGTACTAATATGAGAAGAAATAATTTTAATGAAATTGGTTACATGAACTCATTAACTTACATTTTATTTTTCAACAGGAAGTACTGTCTAGTACCTGTAAGCTTTTCTAATTTCTTCAAGTTCTAATTCCTTTACTTTCAACTGCTGTTTTAATTTTTCTTTTCTTGCATTGTGTTTTTCTAGTTTCTCAACTATGTCATCCAGTTGTGAAGATTTTTCATCAAGTTGTTCTTGAGTACATTTTTCTATTTCATGGATCTTTCCTTCTAATATTTTGATTTGATCCTCTCTTTCCTGTAAACACTTCAAGAAAAAAATCAGTACTTTATTTTTATTAATCCTAAATGTCTCATTTCCTAACTAATTACGCATAGTTTAAAATTATTATAAAAGCTATAGGTTAAAAAATAAATTAAATGTTCAATGAGTGTTTTAGAAAAGTTTATAGAACACTTTTTATCACAATCAATATGAAACATCACTACTGCTTTAAGTGCTATTAAGAAAGATAAAATTTTTGTCCTAGTTACACTTTTTATTTCAGTGAAGTTAGTAATTATCAATCACAGAAGGAGTAGAAGAAAAGAGAAAGAAAGTGGCGCAATAAAAATGTCAACTAACATAAATTTGCCTAAGAAAAGATCTACCTTTTCGTGACAGAAACAGAAAGAAAACTCTTGGTGGCCGACAGCAGTACAGCACTGTGTATGTAGAGCACAAATTAAATTGCTATTTCTAACATGCTAAACAGAAGTGTTTCCTGCATTTGGATGAGCAAATACTTTAAAATAAAGTATGATTTCATCACTATTAAAATGCCACAGGAAAAGAGGCTTTAGAGCCTCCAAAACTTTTTATTATATCTTCTGTACGATGAGTCAGACTTTATCCTCTATGTGCAAATCAGAGGATCATGAAAAATCAAAACCACCTTTGGCACTGCTAAATGTTTGCAGGTCTGAGGCTTCATGTGGTTATTCACTCCAGCGAAGACCTGCCTGCTTGGCGGGGGCAGGCCTGGGCTTGGGAACAGCCAGGCCATACGTCGACTACTGATGTCAGTCTCTGCAAGTGAGAAAATCGGCAGTTCTTATCTTTACCATGTCCCCTGCCCCACCTTGCTTTTTTCTCCTTTTGGCAGGAAGATGGAGACAAATAAACAAACACTAGACAAGTCTACTGTAAGCATGCATTCATACGTATTATAAGGAATGCGGTTCAATTCCTCAAGGTGTTATGTATCTAAAAATTCTAAGCAAAGCTTTCAGGTCGTCTTCTAGTCTTGACCAACATCTGCATAGGAGTCAAGAATTGTTTATTTTCTCCCACGACCTTCTGAAGTACTTCAGAGTGGGGAGTCTTGACATGTATTATCAGGAATCCACAAAAGCTATAAAAGATCCCTATGAAATAACCCTGTTAATAAAGAGAATAACATGGCAGCATCAGTCTTGCGATCCATATATAAAAAAGTAGCAAAATAACACACAGGGAGGATACAGAACTTCAAAAAATTTCTGTTTCTGATTTCCATAGTCAGAAACTAACTATAGAATCTACTTAACTGTAAACATCAAACTCCAAATTCTACAGATTAGGTCATTATTAAGTTATTAACTATGATGAAATTTACTGCTGAAAGAAATTATGCCTGGCTATCTCTGCATGTTATGTGATTAACTGGAAAGCAGCATTAATGCTCATATCTTCCAGGCAGACATGGTTTTTTTTTTGAGGAAGATTAACCCTGAGCTAACATCTGCTGCCAATCCTCCTCTTTTTGCTGAGGAAGACTGGCCCTGAACTAACATCCATGCCCATCTTCCTCCACTTTATATGTGGGACGCCTACCACAGCATGGCTTGCCAAGCAGTGCCATGTCTGCACCCGGGATCCGAACCGGCGAACTGTGGGGCGACCGAAGCAGAATGTACGAACTTAACCGCTGCGCCACCGGGCTAGCCCCCGATACAATGTTCTTTAAAGTAAATGAACTAAATTGTGGGAAAAAAAAAATGCTGAGTTGAAAATCTGAAAAGTTTTTTTTTTGCCAAAAATCTAAAACTAAACTTCATCTATTTTTTGGCTCCACTATGCCATTGGTTACTAGTTGTTTCCTTCCAGAAGTCTGCTCCAAGCCTGATAAGAAGGCAGCAGCCTTAATGGAAGGAGTTCTGTCAGGCACAGTGAACTGTACTGAGAGTATGACCTGCTCTGCTTTGTGAGGTTTAAAAGCAAGTCACAAGTCTTTCTGTTTTATATTAAGCTTAACTCAAAAGAAAATACACTTGGCTAAACTTTTAAAACAAGAAGAAAGGCTTCCTGCTAAAGAAGTTCAATAATAATGTTCAGTGCAGCCTGGGAAGCCTGACAGACGTATTTGAAACCTAGGATCCACCGAAACCAAGACTTCAACTGAGTGAACGCCAAGATGGCTGTTTTTGGTAATACAGTTCAAGCTTTCATAGGCCAGGTCTAGCTATGGAAATAGCAACATGGTGATAAATATATTTTTTATTTTCTGTATTTGATGAATTTCCGAAGGAGTTTCTCAAAAATGACTAAGGAAAAAAACTCAAGTGTTAGGTAGTTATAATTACTCTAAAGGATGAGTTCCTAACTTTATGGATGATAATCCCATTTAGAAGTTTCTTAAAAACCCCTTTCTCAGTTATTTTTACACTTTAAGAGATAATTTCTAGAAGAAACTACTGGAGTTCAAATTTGATTCAGTGTTCACAATAACTTTCAGAAAATCTCTGAAGAATCTTCATGGAAGATACTTTGAAACAAGTGATCCTGTCAGTATTCTCTCTGAAGGCAGGCCATACTGAAGAAGAGGGTAAAAATGGTTTGCCCTGGGAATAAGCATGAATCTTTTACAGTCTATTCATATACTTTTTTTTTTTTTTAACAAATTCTTGTATTTTAAGATTTTTTTTTTTTTTTTTTCCTTTTTATCCCCAAAGCCCCCCAGTACATAGTTGTGTATTCTTCGTTGTGGGTTCTTCTAGTTGTGGCATGTGGGACGCTGCCTCAGCGTGGTCTGATGAGCAGTGCCATGTCCGCGCCCAGGATTCGAACTAACAAAACACTGGGCCGCCTGCAGCGGAGCGCGCAAACTTAACCACTCGGCCACGGGGCCAGCCCCCCTATTCATATACTTTTAAATGCAAGATAAGTTTTGTCCTAATTTTGAAAAGTGATTTAGCAATATTATATGATAGCGCTTTAAAAGGATATTTTAAACATATAAAGCATAATTTCCTTGTGATTTCTAACCCTTTATCAACACTATTTGCAGTTATTTCCAAGGGCCATAATAATTTCTCCATAAAATTGTGAAGTAAAAGTAATTTCACGTTAATAAATGTCATATATCACTTTTGAAAGCAAAGGAGCAAATATTATAAAAGAAAACACATGATAATCTGTCCTAAATTCCATAACAGTTGGGATTCATTGAGACAAATATTTATTGGATACTTTGATCCACAGATGTTCAAACCTGCCGTATGCTCTTTTCCCAAATAAAATGTCAAACTTACACATTTTAATTTTCCAATAGTTTCAGTTTGGTCATCTATGATTTTGCACTTAATTCTTAATGCATCATTATCACGTTGATTTGTCTTTCGCAGAGATTCATTCTCTCTACATAAACTTTCAATTTGAGCCTCTAGTTTGCCACGTCTTTTGGCTAGAGAAGATCCTAAGAAACAAGCATTATCAGTAAAAAACTTTAAAAGCCATTGGAGGATTTATATTTTATGAACAGCTAATTTAACAATGTATAACGCAGTAAGTAAAAAGGGAGACAATTAAAAAATATATATATAGACATATAACAGCACCATATGAAGAGGAAAGGGAAGAGAAAAAAGGCCTTCTAAACACCTGTGGCTATTTGAAAACCTAAAACCACAAATCAAGAACCAGTAACTTAGACGTGTAATATTTAACTGGTCATGTTACAGCATTCAAACAAACAAAATCGCATCAAAGATTCCCACATGGAATGAACAAATGAGCGATGCTCGAGGAAGACCAGCATGCATCTACTCATCATCTGTAAGGTACCCATGAAGGCCATGAGTCTCTCTCTCTTGTTTTACAGCGATTGGAAACAGAATGAGACTGAGGGTGAGTTTACCTAAATCTAAAGCGCTTTTCATTCCCATACTATTTCACATTTCTCCACACATCACAAGAGAAATGTTACCGTTTTTAGAAAAAAAGTGAATGCTGCATAACGTACAAATAATTTAAAGTCACCGCATGAGAAAGAATGATTTTTAACAACTTACTCAGTTGTAGCACTGTAAAGGTAAACCTGTTCAGAAAAGTAACCAAATCATATTGGGAAGAAAACCAAAACAAAACAACCAGAGTTATAACTTCATAATTGGTGTAATAAACTACTTCCCATTTCCTAACAGGCATTTCCTTCCTGTCTGGCTGGCAAACGCCTATTTATCTTTCCATATAAAGTGCCCCCTTCTTTCTTAGTGTGTCTAGGCAAGTGAAGCCTTTCCTCTTTCTCTCCAATACCCAGATTTGTTGGTTAAGAAGAATGGGCTATTTTCGTTTTGAAAATTTGAGAATTTTACCCTGTTGTGCCAGTTCACGTCCCCATACTTTTCTTTCTGTCCTTAAACCATAAATGAGTGATTCCTTGGCTGCTAGCTCGGAAATAAGCTGGATTTTTTCATGCTTGAGAAGTTCTATTTGAATACTCTTCTGCTTGTCATCTTCAATCAAAATTTCAAGGGTGTTGATTTGATTCTGTATAACGCCAAAACATTGAAAAACACAAAGTAATTATTAGATTTAAAAGGACTTATTTATTTTAGACTTTTTGCATTTTATAACAAGATAAAATATTATTTAACAAATACAAAGTAAATGTTCCTAAATTTTACATCAGAAAAAGTTTTAATTTTATTAAGTAAAGATAAATGTAGGTCATGAAATCAAAAGTCAAATTTTAAGAGGCTGCTCCTTTAAACACTCTGAATTTTGTTCTAATATCTTAAAGGAACAACTACACAGGTAATACTCAAAATTTTTCACCAAGCATTTATATCAATAGTCTCAAGGTCACTTCCAGGAAGTAAGTTCTCTTGTGCAAAATACCAATAACGTTTAAAATGGAGACAACAGCAATAAAGAGATTAATTTAAAAATTAACAGAGCTAGGTATATATAAAAACCACCACCACCAAAAAGTCACTATCAGCAATTTACATGATATTTCTCCCAAACTTCAACCTTTTGAATATCACCGCCACAATTTCTGCTGTATCACTGTAAAACTGGCACCTATTTACTTAGTACATTTCTTAAAATTAATTCACTTATTTTACTTAAATACTATTTTAGTTTAAGCAATAACAATCTGTGAGATCGTGGTTCAATCTCCTAGTTGTATTACTTTTCCTATACACATCAAACTTGATATTAGTATTATTTAAAAGTTTGTAATTGTGTACTGCCTAATCTCAATACACTTGAGAATGTGATGTAAAAAATTAAAGAGGAAACATAATGTTAGAATATCTTACCTGTAAATTTGCTGCTGTTTCCTGTTTCAGTTTGGAAACTTCTGCAAGTTTTGTTTTTTGTTCCTTCACCATACAAGTCAGATCTTTAATTAAAGAGGAAGACTCATTTTCTTTTCGTTGAGCCCAAACAAGAGCATGCTTGCTCTTTGCTAACTCAGTTGCAACATTTTCAAAACCATCTTTAACCTATATTTCAAAATTGCATTATAAATAGCAGTCCTCCAAATATTTAGAAAATATTTGTTTCTGGAAACAGCTTACTTCTTTCATTTTTAGAATCACAGTTTCAGCAAAAGAATAAAATTCAGATAATTGGTTTTACAGGCAAGGCCACATGGTCTGAGTTGGCAGTACTCAACTGCCGTTGTAACACAAAAGCAGCCACAGATAATATGTAAACAAAAGAGCATGGCTGAGTTTTAATAAAACTATTTACAGACAGGCAGTAGGCCAATATGGCCTGGCGGCGTTGGTCTGCCAGTCTTTGCTCGGTGCTAACAGGAGAGAATTCAGATTTCCCAACTCCTATTCCAGTGCTCTCTCTGCTTGACCATTGATAGCCTCTAGTTTTCGCAACAACACTGAAGAGTAGCTATTATTTATGTGAAGAAAGTAAGGCTCTAAGAATTTAAGTAATTTGCTTAAGATCACATAGACAACCTATAAATAGAACTAGAATTCTAACTTGCTGATGCTGTTTTCAATAAAAAGCTAGATGCTAATTCTTACATCTTTAAATCTTTTGGCTTCAACAGTTAAAGCGATACGGAATTCATTTTCTAAATCAACATACTGTTGGTTTAATACATTAATTTTTTCTTGGTATTCTTTTATTTCTTCCTCGTGCTTTCTCTCTTCTTTAGCTATTTCTTTAGCTAAGGCTTCCTGGAACTCAGCATCACTAAAGAACTCATTTGTTTCAAGTTCCTTCCTGGAATGAAAAACAAATAAAAGTCACAGGATGCTGTCCACTGGTAAAGAAAAATGTTCAAGGTCTTTAAATAGTTAGTAGATACGCTATCGTTCCCATTGTTAATTTAAGATCTGTTCTTCACTTTCAAACCCAGAAACTGAGCATGGGATGGTAGAGAAAGAACGAGTCATCTCTGATTGTATCAGTGTATGGGATGAGAGGACGCGCCCAATCCTAGCTCAGGGAGACGGCTCAGCATCACTCTGGCGCCTCAAACGCTCCAGGGGCACGTGGAGACCCAAGTTCTGCCTCACTCTATCTTCTACTTCGGCTGTGTCTTTCACATACAATAAAGGCACTCTGACGTGTACTGGTGGTTGGTTAATAGAAAGAATCAGTTAAAATATGCAATTATTCACCAATCTTTTGATATAGGCCTAGTTTTTTATTTAAATGTGAGTTCATTCTTTAGAGTTCTCCAGAATTTTTCTTGAATAAATCAAACCCATAACACAAACTCTATTATTTACAGTTTTGGTTTCTTTAAACTAGAACAAGAAGTTAAAAGATATTTGTAAAGGAAACAAAGTGCAAAAATTTAGATTTTTGTGATTATTTTCCCCCAATATTTTATAGTTATCCTGCCCACATATGATGACAATTCTCCACAGAGCATCAACATTCAATTTATACATTCAAAATTTAATTTATCTAAGGACAAAAACAAAACAGGTTTGGGAACAAACACAATTAACCCATGGCGATGATACGACTCAAGTGGCAGGGTTTGAGTAAGGAAACGACCAGCTGAGTGTTCCAAACACCGTGGGCTCCAGAGCAGGGCTGACAACGACAGCCCACGGCCAGATCTGGCCTGCTGCCCTTTTGTCGGGAACAAACTTTTACTGGAACACAGTCATGCCCACTCCTTTGTGCACTGTCTATGTACTTCTGAGACATAACGGCATAGTCAGGCATGGCCTGCAAAGCCTGAAGTGTTTCCTGCCTGCCCTTTGCTGGCCCTGCTTCAGAGAAATAAGGAATACTGATTAATTGAACAAGCAGGTGCTTGGAGGTCAATTAAAGCAGTTTTCCTCATATTACAATGATCGACTTTTGGTTGGATTTGGGGAAAGGTAAATCAAGCTTCACTGTTACAAGCCCATACCTCAATCAGGTCAGCTGTTTGCTTCTAAACCACTAGTTCTTACTGTAAGACTGATTCTAACGCATGACAAACTCGGTCAGACTTCACACTGCTCTGTCACTGTCTAGTTTTGGGGGCGGGAGGAAGCAGAGGACCAAGTAGCTTTCTTTCCCCCCCTTCTTTTTGGTGATGCAGATTGTCACTGAACTAACATGTGTGCCAGTCTTCCTCTATTTTATGTGGGACGCTGCCACAGGGTGGCTTGACGAGTGGTGCTAGGTCCACGCCTGGGATCTGAACTTGCAAACCCGGGCAGCTGAAGCAGAGGGCATGAACTTAACCTCTACGCTACTGGGCCGGCCCCTCCCTCCCTATTTTTAAATGTCTATAATTTTCACTTACCTGTGTTCTTGTTCTTTCAATGCAAGAAGTTCATGAAGTTGTTGCACTTGCTCCTTTTCTTGATGAAGGGAAGTTCTAAGTAAGTTTATTTCTCTGTCAGCAGCTGTAGCTTTGAGCTCCACCTCTTGGATCAGTCGCATCTGAGTAAAATACACACACTTACAGTATTTAGATAATAATCTCCCCTGCTTCTATTTTGATGTAGTTTCCCAAAGTGCCTTCTAAATAACAGGACCTGGGTGACTAAACTGATTTTAAAAACTTATTAAATTAACAACGCTATGGTCACATGAAGCCTAGCCTCGGAAGCAGCAAACCCACTGGCACAGCTGCCGCTCACTCGCATCACAGATGCTAATGAGGACGTCCACTCAGCAAGCATGAAAACGAAAGCTTTCCAGCCCTCCAGAGACGTTAAGACCAGCGCTCTCAGAGCACCAGCCTGACGCCCTGCAGCATTTCCACCCACTCTTCTCATGACTGCTTCCTGAGTGCCAGGAGTCTTAACTCAGAAACGGTCCCACAAGCTAAACCGCTGCATTTAACTAAGTTTTGCACATGGCCTAACGTCCTTCCCATTTACTACATTAACACAATGCCTTGTCTCAGGACAGAAGCAGGAGTCTGTGCCACTTTGCGTGACTGACAGATTCAGACATACCTGTGCCGCCTGCTGCTGCCTTTTCTGCCTCTCCATTTTTTCTAACGCTTTCTCCAGGATTCTCAAGTGTCTAATGTGATCCTCTTGCTGATCTCTTGCTTTAATTAATTCAATAGTTAGTTTTTTTACTTCACTTTGAAGTCTGTGAACCATAACTTCGAGTTGTAGTTTGGAATTTCTCTCTTTAAAAATAATTTCCTTTAGCCTAAAGCAGAAATCAAACGTTGCTTTAAGTATATCATGCACATAAACAGGATAAAAATTGTAGTTGACTTAAAGGTTACAGTAGAAGGGAAGATTTGAAGCGTGTTTCAAACTCTCATTAGATAAAACACGGCTAAAAACAGTACAATATGCCTCTCTCGCATCCCTGAAACGAGCATCGTGCCAGGAGGGAAAGCACTCTACACAAATTAGTGAAACTTCATCTTATGTGAACTTCACTATTCAACAGAAAACTGCATAAACAACTTGTTTCAGGCACTGTGCTAGGTGTGGGCTTAAAGCAAGCAAGACGATTAAGACCCAGCCTGTCCTGCGAGGAGCTCAGTATCTAGTAGAGGGAACAGACGTGGACACGTGTGAAGAGCTGTGTGAGTGAGAAGTGACGCGAGAGCAGACACCTCTGACCTGCTGCATCCTCCCTGACACCAAGCACTGATCGGCTTCATCTTAGTGAGGGCCCTTGGATTACGCCCGACAACTCTTAACTACTTTAAGGAAAAGGGAGGATTGACTGACCCACATAACCAATTCAGAGGATGGGGTGGCCCTATTCTGAGGCACCGCTGAAACCAAGAACATGAACACCAGCAGGACTCCCTCTCTGAGTGCCGGCAGGCTGGTTTCTGTTTCTCCTATGGCAGGCTTCTCTAACACACACAGAGGGGGCAGCGGGAAGGCTGCAAACACATCTGGCTCACCTTCTAAGAGCTCTGAGGACCAAAGAGAAAAGATTACCTTTCTGTACCTCAACTTGGAAGAGTTCTAGGCAAGGCTCCGATTAGTCCAGTTTGGTTCTCATGCCCCCTCCATGCACCAATCACTGTGGCCATATGCCTAAGGCATTATGTTTACCCAGCTGGGTCAGATGCTCACCTCTCTACCAATGTTACAGGCAGAGAGGCAGTTGCTGACAGATAGAATATAAGTCTAGTGTTTGGAAAGGGGACAACGAATAGCAAAGACATGGCCTCATGAAGGAACTGCTGAGCTAGGCAACCACTCCTATATGCATCTACTATAATTTCCAAGCCACAACTGAAAAAAATCCACATACCCATCAACTTCTACACTAGTCATTCCACCAATCCTTGTTATTTCCATCTCTCCTCTCGCCTTTGAGAGCAGCCTCCAAACCGGGCTTCCTTCGGTCTTGCCTTCCACCCTGACTACTTTGGTACATTACATGAGAGAGAACTGGACTTTATTCCGTGGACTGTGTGATGGGTGCGGGCAGAGAAGCTACAGATCAGCAGAATTAGAGCAATCATCTGAGCAGCAGACAAGGGTCTAAACCAACCTACCAGTTTGGGGATGCAGACGCGATAGTTCAACATCTTTTAAGAAGTAGAATGAAGAAGATATCAATACCAACTGGCTGTGGGATATAAGAAAGAAAAAGGAAGCAGAAAAATGATTCCCAAATTTCTAGCTTTGGTGGCTGACTGGATGGGATACCATTTATTAGAACAAGGAATACAGAATAAGGAAGCAGGGTAAGTCTACCTAAGGCCATGCTGATCTTAAGACACTTATGTGCAACACAGGCAAGGCACTGTTAGCAGATAATCAGATGAACAGATGAGTTTAACAAGGAGGTCTGGGTAATAAGATTTGGGAGCTTATCGGTTAGGTATTAAAAGCACAGTAGAGAACATGATTTTTCAGATAATATATACCCACAGCACGGTACCCAGATGCCAGACCCTGTCTCAGAACTGAGGAATACAGAGATCCTAACAAGTCACCTCAGGGATACGAGAATTGGTGAGCATCTAATTCCAGAGAATCAGAAAAGACTGAGGCTGGATTTCAAGACAACAATGAGTATGTAACACGGCAAACGCGGCACAAGAGCACAGAGGCTCAGGAAGGAAAGACGACGTGCGCCCGAGGCTCCCCAATGGGAATGGAGCGAGGCTAGCAGCCCCAGACACAGCTCTGTCTAATACCCCACTAAGTAATACCCACAACACAGAGCAAAGCAAAAATTCATACACATATCAGTAAAAAGAAGAGAAAACAGAATGCCAAACTGTGGGAGGAATTTCAATCATAAGGCAAATGAAACTAAAGTAAAATACAAACAACTCCTAGAACACTCAGGCTTTGCCTCATAAAACTGCACATTTCTGAAAAAAGGGAGGATACGGTAGTCCCTCTTTATCCCAGTGAGTGCCTGAAACCTCGAATAGTACTGAACCCCGTAGACACTACGTTTTTTCCTAGCTAAAGGGCAGGCAGCATACGCAATATGGACACGCCAGACAAAGGGATGATTCACATCCTGGGCAGGACAGAGCAAGACGGAGCAAAATTTCACGCTACTCAGAGTGGCATGCAATTTAACTTGTGAGTAGTTTATTTCTGGAGTTTTCCACTCAATATTTGGGACCATGGTTGACCCTGGGTAACTGAAACCGCGGATCAGAGGGGACTCCACATAGCCTCTCTCTTCCACTGTCTGTCCACGACTCAGGGCCACAGGCTCCGTGTAATCCATCATTACACTGTGTTGGCTTCTGAGGCACCCACTGCAAGCAAGAGTGCTGCTTTAGTGTGGTACTGGCTTAAAAACAGATGCAGAGTTCCAGGAAACAGACTCTGGAGCCCAGAAATAAACCCACGCGTATGCAGCCAACTAACGTTTGATAAAGCAGCCAAAGATAGTCTATGGAGAAAAAAGTCTCTCCAATGAATGCTGCTGGGATAGCTGGATATTCACCTGGAAAAACTGAAACTAGACCCCTATCTTAAACCACTCACAAAAATTAACTAGAAATGGATTACAGACTTCAGCGTAAGACCTGAAGCCACGAAACTCCTAGAAGAAAACAGGAAAATAAGCTCCTTGACATGGGTCTTGGTAATGATTTTTTGGTATGACACCTAAAGCACAACAAACAAAATAAAAAAAAAACAAGTAGGACTACGTCACACTGAAAAGCTTCTGAACAACGAAGTGAAAAGACAAGCTATGGCATGGAAAAAATTATTTGCAAACCAGGTATCTGATAAGGGGTTAATATTCAAAATATGTAAAGAACTCACACAATTCAATAGCAAAACCCCAAATAATCCACTTAAAAAATGGGCAAAAGACTTGAACATTTTTCAAAAGAAGATATACGAAGGGCAAACAGGTACATGAAAAGGTGGTCAACATCACTAGTCATCAGGGAAACACAAATCAAAACCACAATGAGACACCACCTCACACCTGTTAGGATGGCTATCATTAAAACAACAAGAAACAACAAATGTGGGTGAGGATGTGGAGGAAAGGGAGCCCTTGTGCACCGTGGTGGGAAGGTAAACTGGTGCAGCCACTGTGGAAAATGATACGGAAGTACCCCCAAACTTAAAAACACCCTATGATCCTGCAATTCCACTTCTGGAATATATCCACAGGAAACAAAAACACTAACTCAGAAGGCTATCTGCACCCCACGTTCACAGCAGCATTATCTACAACAGTCAAGACATGGGGACAACCTAAGTGCCATGGATGGATGAACAAAGAAGTTGTGGTATATAAATACACAATGGAATATCATTCTACCATAAAAAGCAAGGAAACCCTGCCATTTGTGACATGGATGGACCTTGAGGGCACTAGGCTAAATGAAATGAATCAGTCAGAGAAAGACAAATACTGTATAATCTCACTTATATGTGAAATCTAAAAACAAAAAAACAACCACTCTCATAGAAAAAGGGATCAGATTTGTGGTTACCAGAGGAGGGGGAAACGGAGACATGAGTTCAAAAGGTACAAACTTCCAGTTATAAGATAAGTAAGTACTAGGGATGTAATGTACCTAATGCATGTATGATACAAATGAAAGTTGAGAGTAAATCCCAAGAGTTCTCATTACACGGAAAAACCACCTTTCTCCTTTTAGTGTATCTATGTAAGATGATGGATGCTAAGTAAACTTAATGCAGTGATCACTTCACAAAACATCCACCTCAGGCCATTATCCTGTAGACCTTAAACCTACAGTCATGTATGTCAATTATATCTCGGTAAAATAGGAAAGAAAGTGCTGTTTTTCTGAGGTAGTCAGAGGACTGTTAAATAACCCAGTCCAGCATCTTCTTGCATCAGAGACAGTAATCCAGAGACAGCAATTCCCGTAACAAATAAGGCAGGAAGTTGGGGAGCGGTGGCGGAAGAGCTAGCGAAGCACGGCGCACCACAGCGTGCACAATCGCAGGGCCCTCATGGAACACGCGGGGTACTGCAGTTCTCACTACGCTCCACAGGCACGGAGCACGAGACACTCAGGTTGTGGAGGGTAGAAAACATCACATCAGCACCACAGAACTCGACTACTTAAACGCGGAAAGAGCCTGGGAACCGGGCTGGAAGCTGTGTACGTCAATTTACTAATCCATTAAGATCCTAGAAGGAGAATTATCCACTGTATCATCAGACAGGACTTGGAACCAAGAGCAACTTCTAAAACCCTATTTCTTGGCAAATAGCAAGTCTAGAAGCCTAGTGCTCATTCAAGGATAAGAAGAGAGAAAAATCAACAAGAACTCTACGGAAAAGAAATCTTACAACCTTTGAGGAACAGCGTAACTTCACAAAGAATTACCTACAGAAACCAGAAGAAAAAAGTTAATGTAATTTCAGAAAACTGGTATTCTCACAGAATGGAATAAGACAGACCTGTGCGAAAGAATATGATACAGAAAAAACAGATGGGAAATGGGAAATGGAGTGGATAAGATGGAAAAACAGAAAAACAGAAGCATAAGAATTCAGAAACTTGGGCTATCTGGTACAAAGCCCATCGCAAAGAACAGGTGACGGAAACCGAATATGACCCGCAGAGCCCAAGGGAAAGGCATGCAGCCTCGGTCCTCTATAGAAACCGGCGCTTCATGGGAAAGCCCATCCTGCTCTCGCCTCCTGCTGTCCTTCATCGTAACAGCATTTGTCTGACACCTCCCTGGAGGGCACAAATAAACGTACCCTGAATCCTCCGTTTACGTGACAAGCTAACACAGCACCAAATCTTTCAATAGAACCACACACGTCTGATCCTGTGACGGCCAGTTCAAATGCTTCGGCGCCACGTGCAGGTCTGTGTGCTGCGAGAACTCTGGGTTACGGGCTCCCCTCACCTATCCGTGGTGAGCAGAGCCAGGCTGTGAAGATCCTCTTTTTCACTGGCATGCTTATGCAGTTCGTCAATGTAATCCATAAGCTTCTTTTCAGCTTGTTCAGCTTTCCATCTCTTCTCTCTCTCTTGGTCCAGCTGTTCAATGAGCGCCTAAAAGAAAACAACAGTGTCATGTGAACTTGGAAAAGTTCCCTAACTTCTCACTGCCTCAATTTTCTCCCTTGTGATAAAGGAATACCAGTCTGTAATGCCAAGGGCTGTAGTGAGAACTAAACCAACAAGTGGAAGCAAAGCGTCCAGAGCAGGCAGAGCATGCTCAGCACAGAGCAGCCGCTCAGGAAAGGCGAGCGCTGCTGTTGTTGTCGTCATCGCCGGCACTGCTATTCTCAGTATGAAGGCCTCTAACATTGGAGGATAAGTGGAGAAAACCAATAGCATGAAAGGTGTGAAATATTTTAAAAAGCAATTATATTATTGGAAAGAGTGCACATTACAATCAAAAGTATAACCAGTACTTCACAAGTAAAATAAGGGCAAGGTAATGAAAAATATAAATCAATGGGTACTAAAAATTCTTAAAAACATGAGAATGCTTAAAGCAAACTGAAGAATTTTGAAATTCTTGAAAACCTCCTAATCTGGGATCCATGGGTCCAGAATTGGGTTTCAGGGGAGTCCGTGAAAACCCTGAGATTCCACACACTTTGTGAGCACGTATAAACGCAGACTTCTCTGAGATGGCCCATGGACCTCCTCAGAAATTGAAAAGGGTCTGAGACCCAAAAGTGAGGAACTACCACATGAAGACAGAAGAATTTGAAAACTTAGACCTCTTTTCTCCTTCATGAGAATGTTAACAAATGATTTTACCGAAATCTGATCTTCAAGAAATGTATAATTTCCATTCTTTTAAAAATTACAAAAATAATAACATTACACAAATCTGGAAATCAGGAAGGAAATCACGTCAACTAAAATTACATCTAATATTTTTTGCTCATAAAAACCTGCATTATTTCTCTGGGACTAACTTTGCTTTTAAAACTGAGATTACTCACATTCGTCTTTTTCTTAATCTCTTAAACCATACCCGGTAAGTGGTGTCTTCGGAGCTGCCGTTGTCCACTTTAACCAGCTCAGTCTTCTGCTCTTCTGATTCTTCTAATATGTTAGAGTTCACTATAGATGATCTTATATACAATTCTTTAAAAAAAGGTTGTTTCATTTTACGATTACAACTGCAAAGAATAAACATAGGAAATAACCTAAAGAAATGTACAGTATTTATACTACTTTTCACAACTTAGGAAATGACAATCTATCACAGAGAAACGGATCTTTTTACATAAATTTAGATGAATGTATTGACCAAACCTGAGCCAGTAGGGCTGAAAAGTCAAATGTTTGACATTAGAAAAGTAAAAGATATCACCATGAAATAGCTTTAAGGAAGAGGCCAGCAGGATTACCTTCTGTCTGTGTGCTTTACTTGAATTTCTGTAACTAAAACAAGTACCTGGTCAAAGGGCTGTTGTTTTTACTGTGGTGCTTAATAGTCTGAATAGTTCTGGAATAACACGGGATTTTTGATCTTCGAGGAATTTTTTTATTACATTCTTTCCTGTTTCCAAAGTCACTTTCAGAAGTTACATCTGTGTCTCTTTTTGGTCTGAGATCTTTCTCAGGAACATTATCTATTAAAGAATTAGAAGTCTAGAATAAAAAAGCCAAAGTTTGTTAACAAAAGTTCAAGTTAGTAAAAAGATTAAAATTTGAAATTTCCTAAAATATTATGACTTTACAAGATTCAGTGGTTATAAACTAGGCTATGATTGGGATTAAAGACAGGAGGTTCAGTTTCTGGTAGGCACAAGTAAGCTCCTATGACGCTGACTCTCTCAAGATAACAAGGATAAACTCTGGGAAAAACACAAACAAAACAACAAGCAAACACTATTTGGAGGCCCTGAAAAGTGAACAAAAGCAGGGTTATTCTAGTGGGGAGCTGACACTTGGACAAGTGACCAGAATGGAGTGTTTCTGTTTTCATGGGTTTTAGCCTGAGAGCATATCAGAATCAGCACTACATAAGGAGTCTTAAATCGCAGGTGGAAAAACTCCAGACCTTTGGGCCTAAAGGATCAGAGGACAGTATGGAGCAGCCTGCAAGAAGCCTAATAACAAAGGAGGAAAGGAATGAGCTGCTGCCTAAGAGACAAATTCACAGTTTAAGTCAAAAAGCAAGTTAAATGCCTGCTACAACAAAAGCATCAATGCCCTGGAGGCCTATAACGGCACAGTCCCAATGTCCAGGATAAAATCCACCATTACTCACCAGAGGAAGACCCAGACAAACATAACCTACTCTCAAGAGAAAAGGCAATCAAGGGAGACCCAACCTGAGAGGATGCGCTCTTTCAAGTCAGTAGACAAGAGCTTTAAAATAGTGAGCATGGAAAGGGGGTGGGGGAGGGCACAAAGGGTGAAGTGGTGCACCTACAACACGACTAACAATAATGCACAACTGAAATTTCACAGGGTTGCAAACTATCATAATCTTAATAAAAAGTTAAAAAAAAAGTGAGCATTAACTATCCTCAATGATAGAAAAGAAAATATGCTTGTCATGAATGAAAGGATACAAAAATTCAGCAGAGAAACAGACATCATAAAGAATGGAAATTTTACAGCTGAAAAACACAAAGCGTGAAGTAAAAATTGACTGGCTGGGCTTAGCAGCAGAATGACGTGATAAAAGAAAGACCAAGTGAATTTGAAGATAAACACTGAGTCCAAAGAGTTCTCCATTTACTTAAGGTTGAAATAAAAGGTGGGTGGGTAGAAACATCATGAAGTACGGCAGAACAACAAAAGAATTACATAGTGAAGATATGAAGAGGAACAACAAAGAAGAGTATGCCACCTTCCTCCACACTACGACTACAACACAATCCTATTTCCGTAAGTAAAAAATAGACACACACACACCAATGCACTAAATATACATTGTTTCTGGTTGGTCAGCTGGTACCCCATTTTTATTTTACATTTTCTTAACTACTTTTTCTTCAACAAACACATTGCTTAGAAGAATAGGAAAAATAGTTTACTTCATTGAGAAGCTGTAAAATCTGATCATCTAATTTCTGAAGTTTCATCTCATTCTGAAAATCGTTCTCAGGACTAACTTTCTCTGGTTCAGAAGACGGACACGCAGATATAAAGGACGTCAAACCGGCATCTGCTGGTGCACTCGCACACTGGTCCAAGGCGGTGATCTCGGTGATGGGTGGCGTCACCACTGGCACACCATCAGTGATCTACGACACAGAAACAAACCAGAACCCTTGAAGTTTACATTTATTTATTAATCAAAATTTGAAGGTATCTTTTATATTAGAGAAAAATAATAATACTATACCTCATCTTCACTTATATTTAGGGGAGAATCAGAAGAAACTAAATTATCCAGAAGACTTTCAAAGCACTGCAGCTGTGATGAATCCATTTCTGACACACCTACTGGCTCACCAAAGATGTTCTTGCAATCAAGGATTCTAAGCTGCGGCAAAGTCTGCAGCATGACTGCTCTGTACCCTGGGGAAACAAAGCATTCAAAATGAAAACTCAAGCATTACAAAGAAAAAAAGGTGAAATATTTTTAGAATAAACTGAATTTATCAGCTATCAGATATATCACCTGAATGATAAAATTAGTCCTAGAATGCAAATAGTAAATAAAAGTTGCTTTTTCAAAAATAAAAATAATAATATTAAAATAAAAAGCTATTTAGTCCTTCTCCACTAAGTAATCATTGAATACAAAACAAACAAAACACTCCTCCGCACCCCTCTGCAAAACCTCTCCTGATGAAGGTCAGAAAGTTAAAATCATCACTGCTGGATGTATAAATGCATGAAACCAGCAGCGATCCATTCTGGACAGGAAGCCAAAGAAGTCTGGTTTATTTGTAATATGGTAAGTATAAATACAAATCAGGATGATGCGGATAACCACCAGAGCCAGAATTTTGCTAGTGAGGCCTCAAGCATTAGTAAGATTAAACATCCCCACTTCCCTCGCTTAAATTACAAAAAAAGGGTTCAAACTGTAGGAACTAGTGGTTCTTGAGAAGAGGCTATTAGGAAAAAATCCAACTTGTGGGTTAGGAGAGAAAATAAAGTTTAAAAGTAAGGTTTTCTTCCAAGAAGAGCATTTCCCCAGAAAAGTGAAATCTGGCTGATTTTCAGGACGACTCTCGCTGCACGGTCTGAGGGAAACAGCTCATCTCAAATCTACTACATTCTTCCGTGAAACACAGTTATCCCAACAGGTCTCATCCTGGGAAAAGCTTCGCATGGCTGCACATTAACGACAGAATGGAGCCCCTGCAGCCAACTTCTAGCCAAGCAGATGTCTACAATGTGCACTCAGAATCCACATTTGCCTCCTATTATTAGGTTCAGCAATTTGAGATAAATGAGTTCTAGAAATGGCAGTCTGGTCTGCTTTATCTTTGCCAATTTCAATGATTCTGAATTAGATCAACTGGCATTTCAGTAGCATCTTCTATATACCTTATTACATTTTCTTCTTTAAAAAATCATTTATCAAGTAGTAATTTAACACAGGGACAGGGTATAAAATTCAAAAGGTACACAGTAAAGTTTTCCTAATATTTCCTGATTCCCAGCAACTCTTTCCACCCTTTCTCCATTTCCTGATCCCTAGCTACTTAACACTGGAATTAGCCACTAATATCAGTTTTTTGTGTCTCCTTCTAGATATCTTTTACATAACTCAGAAAATATACACACCTTACCCTTTGAACAGAATGTTTTGCAACTTGCAAAACACTGTATCTTGGAGCCTATCCTGTATCTTAACCGTGTATCTTGGAGATAAGGGCATATCAGTAGCTAAAGAGATTCTATATTCTTTTTTATGGCTGCATAGTATAAGAATATATCATAATGACACAATTTAATTTTGAGGCATTCACTTATCAAATATAAAACTGTCTAAATAGAATTACTTATCTGTTCACCCCACGTTCTTCTTTTAACAGCAATTTATAAAATAATTTATCTGTAATTATGTTTTTCCAAATATATAGTAAAAAGGTGCAAAGCTTAAGACAAAGACAAGGAGGTCACAAACACAGCTGCCAGCAGCACAGGAGCTTTGAGCACCGGCTCTCACAGAAAGGACTGACCGCTCGTACCTGGTATGCGACACACAGGATTGTCCTCGCCATTCTTCTCCAAAATAAGATTAGTCAAGAAGTGCAATCCTACCAAACACTGAAGTAAGTGATGGATACTATCTATACAATTACTGTGCAGGTCCAGGTATCTAAGTTTATGTTTAATTCCATGAAGGGGCATCAAACCTGCAATAGGAAAAACACTCTTTTGATGTCACAGCAGTAATTTTTCCAACAGCGAAATAAAATTAATTTTATATAGGTTATATTTCGAGAGGCAAAGGGGCAGCATTAATAAGAACTCAGTGCGAACAGCTACATCTAAGGAACAGGGTATCAGTAAGGTCAACTGCTGTTTTGAAGAAACACAGGTTTGGCATCTTTTTGAGGCCTCAGACCAGAGCTTCCCGGACTCCAGTTTTCTTAAAACAAAACAAACGGCCGTCCCCAGGCCAATGCATATACTTACATGAGAACAAGCAAAAAGCAATGGCTGTAGGCTCTCTATCAACACATATTTTTGATTAGCAGACACAAGCAAACACTGGAATTTACTTCAGTTTTGCTTGAATTTGGTTTGAACACGTGGGTGCTCCACGTGATTTAGTTTCCTGGTGATATTTCCCACATGTGCTTATCTAGAGCATGGTACTGTCAGGAATTACGTTTGCAGCAGAGGTACTGGTATGTGGTACATCTCCTCTGCTAGCCTGACTGCAGCTGCAGCTCTGGTGGACAGGGGCAGGTGTGCCACCTTGAGCACTTGCTGTTTCTTTCCTGCCTCAGGACATTCTTCAAAGTGGAGCTTGTTGAGCAAAGGTGCACCCTGGAAGGGTGAGGGGGTTAACAGCTCGAGGGCTCCCCTCCACAAAAGGGGAACTGTCAGTGGACGCACGCCCCACCTCCCTTCTTCTGGAAGGACCATCCTGAGATGCACTCTACACGGCTCCTCACGTCTTATTTCACAATTTACTTAGTTTAGTGCTCTCCATATAAAAATTTGACCTTACTCACCTTTTTTCAATTTCTTCAACCTGACTGGAATGCTCTTCTCTCCTCAACTATTTTTATCTGGCTAACTCCCACTCGTCTTTCTTACAGGGTTGCCTTTATTTTCTTCATAGTCCTTATCACTAACTTCCACTCACCTGTCACATCCTCAGAGAAGTCCTCTGACCACCCCCCACAAGATTAGATTTCCTGTGGTGCATGCGTGCAAGTCCTCGGCACTCCTTCTTGACTGACCATCACATTTCTATGTCCTGCCTCCATGTTACTGGTTCTTCCTCTTATGTTTCAATTTTAGAGTGCCCCAGGGCTCGCTCCTGCTCCTCCTCCTGCATCCACGTGCTCTCCAGAATCTCCTGTAGTTTCATGGCTACAAATACCATTGATGTGCAAATCTACGTTTCCAACCGTGGTGCCCCACCACAAACTGCAGGTTATACACAGACATACACACACATGTCTAATAGGGTTCTCAAATTTAAGACAGAAACCTTAATTCTCATCCCCTGATCTCTAAACCTGTTCCTCCCTCAATCCTTCCCACGTCAGGAAACAGTCCCATCATCCACCTGTTACCACCGAGAACACTCATAATTATCTTCCTTTTCTCCTTCATTTCCTCATCCCAGTCCGTCAGCAAGTTCTACGAACTCTATCTGCAAACACCTCTGCTTACCCCTCCACACTAATTCCACCCTCCACCAAGTCTCCACCATCTCTCATCTAGACCACTGGAACAGCTTCCTCACTGGTCACCTGACTTCCACTACTGTCCTCCTGAAAGCCGTTCTTCACTCGCTCAGCAGCCAGAGCGATCCTTCAAAAACACATCTTATGTCCCTGACTTGTTTAAAGCCCTCCAGTGGCTTCCTATGGCACCCAGAATAGGAAACCTTTCACCTGCTCGTGAAGCTGTGTGTGGTCTGGCCTTTGCCCACTTTCTCACTTCTTTTCTCAGCACACTAACCCCTCGTCCGCTACGCTCCAGCCACTCTAGCCTTCTTTCTGTTCCTTTACCACAGCAAACTTGATCATGCCTTAGTGTCTTTGTATGTTCTTATCACATACACGGCTGTTATCTATTGAAGGATTTCTGAACATACAAAATATTATCATTCTAAGAATTATCTATTAGAACTTACAGGGTTTTCTATTATATTCCCTTCATATTCTTTATCACTATCTGATATTGTCACTAAAATTCACCTTTTTTAGCTGTCAAGACTAATGCACTTTAACAAACATACAGAGTTGTGTAACCACTACTACACCTGAGGTATAGACCATTTCCATCACTCCAATCAATGCATTCCTATGTAATCAATTTTCTCTCCCATCTTCAACCTCTGGCAACTAATGATCTGATTTCTGCCCCTATAACTTTGCCTTTGTCAGAATGTCACATAAATGGAGTCATGCAGTATAGCCTTTTGTGTCTGGCTCCTTTCACTTAGCAAATTCTTTTCAGATTTATCCATGTTGCTAAATACAAGGGAAAGGAACAATGGAGGAATCAATAGTTCATTCCTTTTTACTGCCAAGCAGTATTCTACCATGTGGATGTATCACCATTTGTCTATCCATTTACCATGTGATAGACATACAAGTGGTTTCCAGTTTTTGGAGTCCATGAACAATCATATAAACATGATTCTATAAAAAGCTGCATAATCATATAAACATTCACATGCAGAACCTTCATTAGACATGCTTTCATTTCTCTCAGATAAATACCTAGGAGCAAGATTGCATGATTATTTGGTACGTGTATGTTTAACATTCTACGAAACCTTCAAACAGTTTTCCAAAGTAGTCGCACCATTTTGAATTCTACTAGCAACGTATGCAAGCTCTAGCCGCTCCACAATTTCACCAGCATTTTGTGTTGTAAGCTTTTAAAACTGCATCTCTTCTAGTGGGTGTGAAGTGGATCTCATTATGGTTTTAATTTGCATTTCCTCAACTACTAAGGATGCTAAACTTTTTTTTTTCATGTGCCTACTTGTCATTTGGATATCCTCTTGAGGAAACGTCTGCTCAAAGCTTTTGCTTATTTTGGGGGGGTGGACATGATCTTACCTATTTGTTTTTCTTCCTCACTACAACGAAAGCCCTGTGACAGAACCTTACCTGTCTGCTGCTGCTGTTTCATTACTAGAGAACTGTTTGATACAGTGATCCTCAATAAATACTTGAGTAAATAAATGAACTGTGTTATCCAAGATTCACAGTTTTCAGACAAGGAAACTACATCCAAAAGTAATATACAATGCTCAACATCACACAGCAGTGAGAGAACTAGAGTTCATACTCAATTATAATACTTTCATGTCTTCAGGGAAAACAGTTTCAAAAAATTAAAAAATTGCTGCTACTTCAGCTTAAGGGTAAGGACTGGATTTAATTAACTATTTTTGTACACTAAACACCTAGTAGAGGGTAATATTTTTCTAGTAGGGGAGAAAAACAAACAAATGAATAAGGTTCTTCCAAATATTGTTAAGGATTATGAAGATAGAGGAATTCTGCTAGTTCTAACAGATTATTCTAAGAATAATTATGACACTGTTCATTTTATCAGCTGTATCACTTTAACCTATTAAAAAATGGGTTGCAATTTTTAACTTTCTTAGATATGCTAAAGCCAAAAAGAAAAAAAACACTTATTTGATCCTCAATTTGCAATAGCATTTGGAATGGTATATACCTACACTGTCCAATGATGGTAGCACTAGCCACATGTGGCTTTTTAAATTTAAACTAAAACTTAATTAAAATCATAAATCAGTTCTTCAGTGCACTAGTCATATTTCAAGTGCTCAAAGGCCACACTTGGCTATTGGCTGCCATACCAGACAGGAGATGTAGAATATTTTCATCATCATAAAAAGTTCTAGTGGAACTATGCCTCTTCATATAATGGTATATTGGATAATTATCTAAGATTAAAACATTTTTCTCCCAAAGTAGGTCTTTCCCATCCAAGTTTTTCCTACTCCTGATCATCCTAGTTTTTAGTTACTATTTTTTATTCAGCTGTAGCTTTGGCACCAATGAAAAAGAATTATGACTGAAGCACATTGTCTAGGTAAGATTTTTGGTCAAAAGTTGGATTATTCAGTTTTTCAACATGCTGAGCTCAGTCTAACTCATCACATGTGGCAAACATTGAGCATTACAGAAAACATAAGCATAGCTACTTACCACTAAGATCATTTATGTGGTTATAGGATAAATTCAGTCTAGTCAGATTAATTAGTGCTTCAAGTCCTAAAATAAAATAAAAGCCTTTATAGGATTCAAATAATCAATTAATTAGAGCTATATAGTTATAATGCTATTTCAGACTGTTTCGAAGTAAATCTACAGACTGGTAACAGTGAAATCAATTTTATTGGTATTTTGAGAAACACACAAAAAAACTGATAACTTTTCTGGAAGAAAACTTTTTATATAATGAATTTTAGGGTCAGTTTTCAAAAGTTGGAAATTTATTCCATTCTTTTGGAAAGAATAAGAAAAATGTACTTAAAACCATCTTCCTTATGCAAAGTATTACAAGAAAATCACTTACAAACCTTCTATTTTTGTGATCAAATTGCAGGACAAATTTAAAGTGCATAGTTTTGTCAGTGTGTCGAGCCCTTCGATTTGAGTTATTTGATTAGATGACAGATCTAAATGTCGTAAATTCCAAACATGATCAATGGCTTCGATCTTTGAGATGTTATTGCAATGAAGATTGATAGCATGAAGAGTTGAATCTAAGGATAATTCTGATATGCTGAAAAAGAAAATATATATTATCAAAAACAAGTAAAAATGGATTTTAAAATCATGCCCAAATAATTAAAATTAACCAAACAGCACGCAGACAGTAAGTGTATGCTCTACTCTTTCTGTAATGAAACCTTCCCACGCACGGAGGCCTTGACCAACTGTCTCATAAAGCACAGTGGTCTTGACACCACTAAAGGGTGTTTTGGACCATTTATGTAAACAATAAACCCACTCAGGTGCGGCAAGTGACCCTGGGCATTTCTAGCTTCCAAGTGCAAACACAGTCATCAGCATACAGCGCAGGCAGGAACGGGAGAGGCCCTGGACGCATATCGCATATCGCCCCACTGCAAATCTGCACTCTACCACTGTTTTTGTTCTATCACTGGAGTAGATGAGTCAACCTCTCTAAGCCTCAGTTTCCTCATCTCATTTAATCCTCACCACAACTCTAAGCAGAAGGCATCATAAAGATACTCAAGTTTACAGAAATTACATAACTTGTCCCAGTTCTTGTAGTTATTCCCTAATTGAGCCGGTATAAAGCCAGATGTGGCACTGTAGTTTGTAACCTTACTTTCTTCACTGTCTTCAATGGCTGCTTAACCCAGAATGCAGTTCATTTCAAAAGAAACCACTAGTTATTGCTATTTCTAGTGAAAAACTCCACCCTCCCTTGTTGAAATCTGGAATGCACCTCCCCTCATCTCTTCATTGTCTCAGTTACTGCTATTTATCACTGGAATCTCTCCTGAAGATAGTCCCAGGCATACAAACTATAGTGCACGGGGTTCAGAGGCCCTGGATGGAGGCACCGTCAGGAGCCATGACACAATGTCACAGATATCCGTTCTATGTTCTGGAACAGCTATGGTAAAACTGCAGGAAACTTAATCCTAAAAGCAGGGAAATGAGAAGTTTAGCAGTCAGGGGGTAAAGGGAAAACAAGGAAATCCGGTTTGCTTCCAAATTAGCATTAAGAATCCCAAAGTCAAAATTAAAACAAAAAAACACTTTGAATATGCCATAAGGTCATTTAGCCCATCTCTTAGTCTTCAGAATGAAGCATAATAACCCCTGGGAGAAAAAGATCACCATTTCTAAATTTCAAACCAGCAATCTCTAAATGTAACTGTTTGAAATATTTTCCAACTATCTAGCCTCTGTCATTTACTGAACTATTATTTAGTGCCAGAGCTTATGTACTATTAACTCATGCTCTTAATGACAGCCATTTACCTTCCAAAACATTTCAGTTTCTGGAAATTAATACTGTGCAGATAATGTGGTATCGTAGAAAAAGCAGACAGGGAAATTAGACAGAAACGGGCTTGAATTCAAACTTAATCCCTCACCAGCTGCATGAAGTGGGGAAAGTTACCTAGATCCTCTGGGTCTCAGGTTTGCCGCTGGTAAAATTACTACCCTGCACAACTGTTGTGAGAATGAGTCATGATATATACAGCAAGCACACCTAGGTGACATTCAGCATATGGCAACTGCTAAATATAAATGTAAATATTCCCTTGAAAAACATCTTCCCGGGGTTTCCGGCAAATTTTAGATCAGGATCAGAACAGGATGCTTTAATTACAGGAGCAAGGAGCACACCACAAAGGAACAGCACGTGCAAAGGCACAGAGAAGCCCACTATGGAACTGCCTGTAGCTCGGCGTGGCTAATCACAGAGCGTAACCAAAGAGGAGGGAAGACTGAAAAGATTGGCGGGGACCAACCAGTAACACAGAACCAAGCGCCCCGTAGCCCCGCATAAATCCGGGCTGCATGAAAGAGGGAAACGGCGAAGTAAATATGGGATGTTTACTACTTTGAAAAAGCATGTGAACATCACAGCGCTCTGCAAACGAGAGATCAGCATGGGGGTACGGAGAAGCGAGGCACAGCCCATGAAGGGCAGTAAACCCTAGCTCCGCGGCTGCCCCTCTTCTCCCGGCGAGGAGGAGCAGATGAGACAAGACAGATCCCGAAGACCAAGCGATCCGGGGCAAGCAAGGGCATGATGACAACCAGTAAACGAAGGAAAAACCGCGAGGCAGGGGGGCGCTCAGAGGCTGGTGCAGAACCAGGCGTGGGGGAGTTCCAGGCTGCTCCGCAGGCCCGGGAGGAGGGGAACGGGGACTGTCCGGTCCTGCACTCAGCTGAGCCGCCCGGGGATGCTCGGGGCGCTGCCCGCTGAGCCCGCCGCCCCGCTCGGGGATGCACGGGCAGCTGCCCACCGAGCCCGCCGCCCCGCTCGGGGATGCACGGGCAGCTGCCCACTGAGCCCGCCGCCCCGCTCGGGGATGCACGGGCAGCTGCCCACCGAGCCCGCCGCCCCGCTCGGGGATGCACGGGCAGCTGCCCACTGAGTCCACCGCCCCGCCCAGGGATGCGCGGGCCTCTGCCCGCCAAGCCCGCCGCCTGCCCCGCCCGGGGATGCGCGGGCCTCTGCCCGCCGAGCCCGCCGCCCCGGGATGCGCGGGCCGCCCCGCCGCCCAGCGCCCTCACCCCCGCAGGCCTTTGTCCATGAAGCACACGTCCGCGCAGCTGCTGTCCCCGTCCTCAGGCTCCCCCTCGGCTTCCCCCGGCGCCTCCATGGCCCCGGCAGCGGGGCGCTGATCTTAACCGGCGTCGGCGTAGGTCCGAGCGCCGCACACGCCCCCGCGGGGCGCGGAAGTCGGCCTGGGGGCGGGGCGAGGGCTCCAACCGACGGCCGGCGCCCTCCCGCCCCCGACGCCGCACGGCCGGAAGCCGGGAGCGGGCAGCCGGAAGCCGGGTCCCTCCACAGGCCTCCCCTGCCTTTTACGGCGTGGACGGCGCGACTCTGGGACTCGCCGTAAAGCAGACGTCTCCTGGCGTGTGGCTGGGGGCGGGAGGGGATCGCTCCTGTGTGGCTTCCGTGCTGGCGTCTGCGTTGTGGGGACCCCTCTTCCGAAGGCGGGTTCTCTGCAGGTTGCGTTTGCATCCCTGGAGGGCTGCAGACCCAGGAGTTGGCCCCGCGGCTCGGCAGCTCACGGTGCTTCGGGACACGTGTGCGGGATGCGCTTCCCTGGTGATGCGGGGCAGGAGGAGGTGCGCTCTGGGTGGGCGGTGCCCCCAGCGCTGCAGAGGATGGAGGACTCCCGGCGGTGGGGCATGGGGGCGGGGGTGGGGGTGTGAGGCTGACTGAAAGGAAGTTGCTGATCATGGAGCAGAGCCTGCTAGGTCAAGGGGAACTCTGGGAATGGGGGCGACCCAGAGGGGGAAACGATGCCCAAGTAAAGTGAAAGATCCCTCCTGGTTAGTAGAACAGAGAAATGATGCGGGGTCGGTGAGCCGAGGAGTCGAAAGAAAGATTTCTTGGACTCTCAAGATCTGGCAGTAGTGCTCTTTTATTTAGAGAATAGTATAGAATAGCATGGGGACAGGACCCGTGGGCAGTCAGAGCTTCTGCTGCTGCCAGCATGGGGACAGGACCCACGGGCAGTCAGAGATGCTGCTGGCATGGGGAGCTGCTGCTGCCGCCCCTGGCATGGGGACAGGACCCATGGGCAGGCAGAGCTGCTGCCGGCATGTTGCTGTTGCTGCCGCTTCTGCTTCTGCTGCAAAGTTGGGTGGAGAGTAAGGCTAAATTTAAGTCATAGGTATGTGAGTTATCTCTTTACAAGACAAAGAATATATAAAAAAGTTAAAATGGTATCAGTGCCTGTAGGGTCCGGCCATTTGGCGGTCCCACAACTTTTAGATAAGAATCAAACCGGATTGTGTAAATGGCAGAAGTCACCGCTTGAATTTTATCCTCAGCTAAAGACAAACGAGGATTTGGGGGGGGGGGGGGGGAGTGTCAGTTACATGAGGTTGCCAGACAGTAACCAACTTAAGTTCCTGCCTCTGGCATTGATTAAGAGCTTCTAGAGATAAGCCATCTCCCTTCTTCCTGGCACAGAGGGGGAGGCATCTTCACAGATAGAGGTTTCCCTTAGAAATGTAAATGTTTCCCAACAAAGGAGCAAGCAAATTCCACTCCTCGGAGCCTGAATCTCATCTGTAGTTTTAAAAGTAACCAGCCTAAAAATCCTCATTTAAAATTAAGCAGCCTAAAAATCCTCATCAGAAGGACCCACAACTAGAATGTACAACTATGTACCGGGGCTTTGGGGAGAAAGAAAAAAAAAGATTGGCAACAGATGTTAGCTCAGGGCCAATTTTAAAGAAGAGAAAAGAACCCTCCTGGTTAGATCACTTTTTGAGTCATGGGATTATTTAAAAATGGAGACAAAAGGCATATCTCAACTTGGAACCCGTCATCGTCATCCTGAACTAAAATCTTCATGGTCCCTCATTAGCTGTCACATAAGGGTCTAACTTTGTATTCTAACGTGGAAGATACTTCCAGACGTAACTGTCACGTTTGGTTTAGCCATGTCTGTCGTATTCTGAAACTGTAGCCACAGTGCCCTGTTCCTATGAGCACTGCTTTGCAGTGTGTCTGCAGCTCCCTCCACCACCGGGCGGAGGCGGAAACTCCACTGGCTCCTGCTGCCCTGGCTGCCCTGTGAAGAGCCTGGGCTGGCCGCCTGGAGGCCGAGGGGGTCTGTGGAGCAGAAACTGGCCACCCAGCTAAGAATGCACAGATGCATGCCTCGGTCCTGAAGAGCTTAGCTGGAGCCAGCCCAAAGTGCCGAGTAACAGAAATGGGAGCCAAAGGAACAGTTTTGTTTTAAGCCAGTAAATGCTGGAGAAGATGTGTTATGTAGGATTAGATGACTGATAAGGCCACTAATACTATGCCTGAGTATCAATTAAAATAGAGATTTTCAATGGGAATAGGTCTTACAGTCTTACATAAAGCAAATAACTGATGTAAGAAACAAATTATATTAAACGTGCTGGATCTTTCCTCCAAAATCATGGGCATTATAATTAATCAAAATACTGATTGTAGTTAGTGGCATTGAAAAACTGTAGGTTGTATCTGAGTTGCCTCAGCACTTGAGGACTGATTATCTTTTTAAAATGATGGTTTGATGAATTCATATTTCTTTTTTTTTTTTCCTGTCCAGACCCCCAGTACATAGTTGTGTATCCTAGTTGTAAGTCCTTCCAGTTCTTCTATGTGAGCTGCTGCCACAGCATGGCTGCTGACAGACAGGTGGTGTGGTTCTGCACCAGGGGAGGGAACCGGGGCCACTGAAGCAGAGCATGCCAAACTGTAACCACTAGGCAATCAGGGCTGGCTCAAATTAATATTTCTACGGTTTGCCTGATTTTTTTTTATTACGTGTCCTTAGAAACCTGCTGTTTAGCTTCTAATTCTTTATTTGCAAAACAAAATTTGGTAAATTAGTCTTGTTCCTGAAACAGGTTCATTTTTGTCTGTCATCGGGAAAGCCAAACACCGAGACAACGAGATTGCAGCAGAGAGTTTAATCACAAGGCAGCCACGTGAGGAAACAGGAGAAGGAGTCTCAAATCTGCCTCCCTGAAAACAGGGTCTCAAGGATAGTCATGGGGTGACGGGCAAGGTGGTCTGAAATGTGGAGATAGACGGTTGCAGGTGAGGACAGGTGAGTGAATGGATGGTCTGTGCAAGCGTAGTCAGACTCCATGCCTCTTCATAGGACCCATGCTCACAAAATGGTGGCATTAGCATGATCTGAAGGTGGAGTTTTCAGTCTCTTTATTTCAACAGATTGCTTATTGGACATCTGCGTGGGCCCAGTTGATGAGCTGGTGGTCTCCACCAGCCTGAAGTGGACAAAGGGTTCTAATTCCTGTAAAACAGCTCACACTTCCATTACACCCCTCACATGACCCAGGGAGATGTTATCTATAGGAGCCTAGTGGGAGTCAGAGAGCATATTGCCCGAGCAGCGCAGTTAACAATGGGTGGGTTAAACAGCTAAAAGCTATAATCAGTAATTGCAGAAAGGAAAAAACACTTCAGTTACTAGCTACTTAATCATCAGTGACTAACTGTTTACTGGTTTCAGTCTCTATAGGAGATCTCAATTCTAAAATTTAAAGAGTCTATTGTTAATATTCTAAATAATCTGTAATCAACAGTTTTCAGGTACTATACTCTGTAGTTTTGTGTTTTTAAACTGTGCTTCAGTCTGCCTTGGGCTTGCTTTATGTCATAGATATGAATATTCATGAGGTGCAAAATGGGCACTGTATCTGGACTCAATCTTACTAGTATGACATCAAGCATGAGACAGGCATCTAAGTCAGGCTGGGGGCGGTGAGGGGGCCTTCTTGGAGAGGCAGAGAGAGGAGTGTCTATTGTGGAAACGTGAGTTGTTTAGAAAGGCTGGTGTGTGGTGAGGGCGTGTGTGTGCACAAGGCGGCAAGAGGTGCGGACAGAAAGTCGTGCTCAAATCAGGTTTTGGAGAGCCTGCTGTGGTCAGCGGAGAAGTTGGTATTTGGTCTGAAGGAAGGTGGTGGTGGGGTGATGGTGTGGGGGGTCACAGCAGCTGTGAGAGCGAGATTGGGAGGAGATGCAAGAAAACAAGACCACAGAGTATTTAAGCGGAAGTGACAGGATTTGATGTGTGTTTATAGCATTATCTCTGGAAACTGAGTGGAGGCTGGATTGGAGGCAGGAGACCAGAGGTGAGCATGTAGATTAGGAGGTTGTTGCTGTAAACCAGGTGGGAAAGACCAGGGCCTGGTCCTGGGGGTGGGAATGAAGAGGGGGACATTCCTGTGGAGTAGCTTTTATAAGCTTTATTGACTGATTTGGAAGTGGAGTATAAGGCAGCTATGGTGTTTCTCCTTTCTCTTGATCTTGATAGTTTTTGAATATCTTTAGTGTCTTACTGTGCTAGCATGAGATCAAAATGCAATGGTTGTATGACATTCTGTAATTTGTGTTTGTCTTCTATTAGAATCAACATGGCACTTGTATGCTCATCTCTCAGATAAGATGCACAAAGCTATCGTTTGACTCTTATTTTTCCTAAGGAAGATTCGCACTGAGCTAACATTTGTGCCAATCTTCCTCTATTTGTTAGGATGTGGGCCGCCAGCACAGCATGGCTGCTAACAGAGCAGTGTAGGTCTGCTCTGGGGAACCAAACCCTGGCTACTGAAGCAAACCATGCTGAACTTCACTACTGGGCCACTGGGGCTGGCCCCCATCATTGGACTTTTTAACCATCTAAAATATATGTAAGCTTTTTTTCAAATAAAACTGAAAGCCCATAAATGTTATGATGACTGTACATACAGATCTCAGTGTAGAACATTAGGTCAATGGTCTGGGCACAGAAGGTCAATCCCCTTTGTGACTTCTGGCCCTGACAATGTTTGCATTGCCCATGAATTCTACTCACTTAGTTGTATACACCACTCCCTGCCAAACACATGCTGTGTTTGTACCTCTCTCTCTCTCAACCTTTATAGACCATACTATTGTAGTTTGTGTTTTGTTGGTGTATTATTTTATTTATCCAGAATATTTGGAGAGGTAGTTCTTCTCAAAACATGAATTTCCCAGATCACTGGACTTATTTCAGAGACTAGTTCATAAAATTTCAATTTTAGTGGAATATTTTCTAATATATTCCTTATACTATCCTGCATTCTTAAATTATATCAAATATAATTTAACAGATTCTTAAAGTCTTATTGTTGTCATAAAAATTCATTACTATATTGTGTGGAAACATACTTTTTCGGATTAGAAAAATATTTTTTCTGATAAATAATAATGTATGCTAATTATGGAAAATGTTGAAAAGTATTAGAAAATGAAATAAAGATCACTTGTAATCTTACCACTTATAGAAAGACACTACTATTAGTTTTTTGTTATATCTCCATTTAGTCATATCTGTGCATGTACACATATGTGAACATGAGTAGTAATAAAATTTGTTATAATAAAATTAAACCTTCTCTGGATTAAAAGGGAATCTCAAAAAAGTTTGGTATCATATGAGACACGTTCACTGACGACAATAATAACATGTACTTGAACAAAATAAAGACTCTCTCACCCAAAGTAAAGCATATGCAACCTGACATTTAAGAACCGTACTCCAGGGGCTGGCCCCATGGCCGAGTGTTTAAGTTCGTGCCCAGTGTTTCGTTGGTTTGAGTCCTGGGTGCGGACATGGCACTGCTCATCAAACCATACTGAGGCAGTGTCCCACATGCCACAACTAGAAGGAGCCACAACGAAGAATATACAACTATGTACCGGGGGGCTTTGGGGAGAAAAAGGAAAAAGGAAAAAAATTTAAAAAATTTAAAAAAGCCATACTCCTAAATAAATGTAAATTGCTGTTTTAAGCTATATGATAATTAAAGCAATCCATATCAAAACCTGTGGAATTTGGCCAAAATTTTTCAGGAGAAAACTAGAACTTTGAATGGGTCTATTAGATAACACAACAACAAAAGAATGAAAATTAATGAGCAAACTTTCAATTCAGTAAGCTGGAGAGAAGAGTGATGTGGGTAAGATAGTGGAAGAGGATGTCCCTGCCCTCATCCCCCGAGGAAACACCAATTTAACAGTGTCACATGCTCAGAACACCTCTACGAGGAGTCCAGAAGCCAGTTAAGAAGTCGCAGAACTTCAGATAGCACAAACGAGAAGGCTCCATTGAAAAGGCTAAGAGCAGTGTCACTTCCCCATTTCAGCCCGTCCCCGAGCCTGCACACCTTGGCCCCAAGAGAGCGTGTGGCCTGAGACCTTCCAGGGGGAGAGTGGAGCAGGCCAGCTAAGTCCTGGGCATTCCGAGCCCGGCCTCGGGATGGTTTCTGTCTACCTCCTCACACGGCTCGCTAGGGGAAGTGGCCTAGTTTGGTGGGGGCAGCTAAGAACACAGGAAGAGGGACAAGCCTTGCTGCGCACCCAGCACAGCTCTGCTGGACCGCGAGAAGACACAGGATGAGGCCTCTGCTGGAAAGGATGGAGGGCGCCTTCCGTCCTGGCCGCTGGTCCAGCAGGCAGACGCCAGAGGGAGCAAGAGACTGGGCTCCTGAAGAAAGGCTAGCAAAACAGAAGAAAAAGTCAACCAAAGAGCTGTGTTTTGAAAAGGTGAACGAGATTGACAGACTGTTAGCTAAACTAACAGAAAATAAGAGGGAAGACTCATTAAGCTAGAAAAAGAGCAGAATATACCCTAAATTGGATGATTAAAGAAGAAAAACAGCGTTATCGCAAAAGAAGCAAAAGGTTATTTGGTAGATTCAGTGTTCTTTCATAATTAAACAAAATTCTAGCAAGGTGAGGGTACATGCTGGTGCCTTAACTAAAAGGTCATCTTGCGAACGCCTACAGCAAACGTCATACTTGATAGGAAATGTTAGAAGTATCCTCTTTAGAGTCACCAGCAAGATGAGGATTCCTGCTCCTTGTTTAAAATGAACTAGAGCCAATGCTGCAAGAAAGAAAAATACATTCTAAGAATTTAAAAAGAAGAGATAAACTGCTTTTATTTGCAGAAGATATAATTTTCTCCACAGATTCTCATGGATTTTCGAAATCAACATGCCAATAGAAATTGTAAATGGCTATATAGTAAGTCTAACAGGAAATGTGCACAATTTTGTGGAGAAAAAAGTTTATACAAGGACCCCCACCCTCCCAAAAAAGCTTAGTCAAGAGAAAGCGATAATCTTTATTGTAAAGATGTCAATTCTCCCCAAATTTACTTTGAATGAAATTCCATCACAATAAGAATCCCAACTGAATCTTTTATGGAACTTGACACAATTATTCTAAAATGTCTATGACTTCAAAAATTAATTTTGAAAGTGAAAAAGATTATGTATTTGAAATGACTGTAAATTTTGAGTCTGGCTAAGGGTTTCTTAGTGATACAAATTTGGATTAAAAAGATTTTAGTGATGATCTTTTCAAGTTCTTGATGGTCACCATCAATGAGAAACTTCTCTCACACAAGTGAGCAATAAAATAAATATACAAGTTATTTTTTTCACAGTGTTCTGTTGCTGTACCTCCACCAGCTCCTGTCTAACCTCCCTACTCCCCGAGCTGTGCCCTGTGGAGCCCTAGAACCCGGCATAGAAAGGATGAGTTTTATAGCAGTGTAGTAACAAGGTTTGAGCAGCCATTCATAAAGAATAAAAAGAAAGTTTGATCCAAAGACTGAGGAAAGCAACAGCAGATCCAAGGGACCCTTTGGGGAAATAACAGGGCTCTCTACTTCTGGAAGGTCGTCCCCAGCCCTGCATGACTGAAGTGGAGATGACAGTCACTATGGCACCAGCAGCCCAAATAGGAGACAGCTATGTTCAGTTTGGAGTCTCTTAATACTCCTCTAGGAGACTCAGATTCCTGCCCCTGTGTGGCACTAAATATTAAAATGTTTCCACAGAAGAATCCTATTGCTCTTTGAAGTTGCATGCTTTTGCCTTTTCCCATTTTTTTAAATCCTGAAAAGTAACTTTGAAACTTCACATGAATTGCTGGGGTTTTTTTTACGTTTTTCTTCCATATTTCTGGAAGGCTCTCCAAACAGTGATAGTTGCTTAATTTAGCCATCTCATTCTTTCACAAGCATTTTATTACTGAACCTTATTTGGCTTT